AAACAAAGAGCAGCCAGAAACCCTAAATAAGCAACACAATAGGCAAGGTCCAAATTGACAAGATTTGCTCAGACAAACAAAACACCTAAGATTTGCATTTCCCCTCTTGCCTGTAGAGCCAGCCATGATCCGTACATGACCTCATAAGAATTTGGCAACAGCCATTAAAATATTAAAGCTTTTTGATTGAGATGCCTGTTCTTACACAGGAGCAAGCATCTCAATCAGAAAGCCCCAAAGAATGTATAAAAACTAACCTACTCTCAATCCCATTTTGTCAGCCATCCCAGAAACATGCTGCTGTCACTAGTTTCTTTTCCTTTCCTGTGGCCTGCCTCCATTTTATTTCCAGCATCTTTCACCCGGCTTGGAACCAGACTGCATTTTTCTTCTGACACTTTGAATAGTTTTCTTCATTTCAAAAAGTAAGGCAACGATAACCAGAGTAATCTAAATACACTGTAATGATCTAAATATGTAATGCTTGAATATTGAATCTGATTCAAGGAGCACAAAAAAAATTACATTGATGGGTATTACAAAAAAAAGGGAAGTCAGACTTTTCTCAGGTTTTCTTTTAATAGAATGAGGAATCATCAGCTAGTAATTATAATTTTGGACATTATGCAATAATAATTCACAAAATATTTTAAATTTAGATAGATTTAGAAAGTATTTGGAGACAGATGCAACTGCTCAAACCTCAGTTGAACCGCTCCAGAATAAATGTACTTCTGAATTTTCATGACATATTTTAATATGTGTTCTTATGTTAGCAATGGTGAAGTTAATCTGAAATAAGAAACTCCACACAGGCAAGAGCATTGCAGGATAAACAGCAGATACTGGAGCAATTATATTTGCCAAAAAGACACACATTTTATCTAGCCACTAAAGCCACTATCTAGGCACATGCATTTTATCTAGCCACTAAAGCCACTATCTAGGCACAGTAATAGAGTAACTGTCATTCAGTAAAATGAACCTGCTTCTTGTCTTACCGTTATTAGTTCTAATTCATGAAGATGGGAATACTGATACTGAGAGAAGCTGATGGAACATCAGAGGCTTGGCATAGAAGGTACATTTCCAAAGCTCAAAATGATTAGTTGAACTTCAAACTGAAATAAAGTGATACTGATAAACCACTGAAAACTTGGCTGTGATAAAGTTTCAAGCCCTTATGCCACTGTTATATTTCACCTAGTGTCAGGAGTCACATTCAAATCTGAGTCACATTTTTGCAATCAAACTATTTTCCAGGTGGCATAATAGTTTAGCGAAAACTAGGCCACTCTTATGAAATCTGAATGTAGTAGAAAACAGATTAAAAGGCCAGAATAAGAAAATTATGCCAATAAGGAGATATAGGAAATAGTCATTTTGAAAAATTGTCATCCTCAGAAATTCTTTTTCAGTTCAAAAGTTTTATTTCTTTTAAAACAAACATTTCATCATTCCTCAATCAGTAAGACATCGAAGTACAATTTTTTGTATGTCAAGATAGTTCTAGTTTACCACCAAATTCTTGTCTAGCCTAATGTATACCTCAGAAATTCTGATTACTGCATTTTTTTTTATCCAGAAAAGTTTGGCGNCCCCCCCCCCCCCCAGTGACAAAAGTATCGGCTGCAGTCTCAGAGCATCAAGACTGCACATCCATACCATAGGGACATTGACTCCTCCTCGGAACAAAACCTTTTAAAATAGGGGATAAGGTCTACTTATCCACCAAGTTCCTACAGTCCTTGCAACGCCAAAAGTTGGGACCTAAGTTCATAGGACCGTTCCCTATAACTAGGATCATTAACCCAGTGACAGTGGAATTACTCCTCCCCAAAACACTTAGGCAAGTCCACCCAGTGTTTCACTGCAGCCTGCTGAAACCAGAAATTACCTTGCCCCTAAGCCATTCTATACATTCCTCCAACCCCTATCATGATTGAGGGGGAACAACACTTTGAGATTAAGACTCACCCACTCACCTTGGCTCCACACAATATCTAGTAGCCTGGAAGCATTTACCCCCCTCCCAGAAAGAGTGGGTAGCTAAAAAACATGTTAGGGCCCACACATTATTGAAAAAGTGCCACTCGCAGTACCCTAACAAACCCAAATAGCTCACTATGTTGTTTCTCTTGTGCTTTCTTTACAGGTGGACCCCTCATTTTTCTAGCAGGGGAAGCATGTCAGATCCCTATCATGATACTGCCATTTCTATGGGGAGGGGGCCCTGGATCATTTATTCACTTATTACCCTGTTCCTGTTTCCTACATACTGTATCATGTAATCCCTTAGTTTATAAGCCTAGTTCTGACACCTATCTGCACTGTGCTTTGATTTACCTTTGGGGAATGTGTAAAGGGGGAGGGCCATCTGTTTGGTCTCAGTTCTGAAGCCTCCTGAAAGAAGCCTGGAAACGGTCCCTTATCTCCTTCCCAGGATGACCATTTGCACAACATCTTTGCACCTGTGGAATGTGTCATTCAACATCGGAGTGAGGGGAGTGGTTTCTAATGTCAGGCTTGGAAGCTATCTTTGTATAGGGCCTCAAGCCTGTCACATATTCAAACATAGTATACTGTGGGAAGGGAGGTTGTATGGAGCCTGGGAAAGATGTAGCCAAAATAACATTCCTTCTCAGAAAGTCAAGGTTGCTTTATCCCTGTACCTGGATGGATGTGGATGGGAGGAATCTTCCTTTGTGGCAATGACTGATTGGACCATGTGATGGACTTGTGGGTGTTGGGGCAGGCTCTTGAACTTTCAACTAGGTGGGGAAAACCTAGAAGCTTTCAGATTCGGGTTTTCCCAGATGTGCTAACATGGCGCTTTTAATAAATTGGAACTTTGAGGAATTTCTAGCCTCGGAGTGTTATTTATTTTAGGATGCTATTTGGAACCTTGATATTAACCCAAATCTCTCCTAACAATCCTACCAGCTCCCCTGAATTCTGGGGTACTGTCCGGGGACCTGAGCCCCAATGCCAACCCAAAACTGGGTGGTGTGAAGACTCATGGAAGGCAGAGCATGGGAAGTGGCGAGATGGGCATTATGAGGACAGCCTGGGTGAGTGACCAGTTCACATTTGTACCCTGCAACGGGCCAGATTGATGGCAGGCGCTTGGCTGAGATGCATGTAGGCGGTACCCAGCGATCTGGGCCCAACGAGGGGAAGCCCAGAGAGAGCGGACGGGAAATTCCCACACCGCAACTCATCCCAAGGATCAGTGGGAGACTCACCAATGGCTGTTGCCACACTAATCAGTGGAGCCCCTGCTCCATTGGTCACAGAACTGGTCCGACTAGAGATGGGGCGTCATCGAGAGGTCATATGATTTATTGTAGCACCCAAAATGAATGAGCCTGTTACACTGGGGCTCGCCTGGCTGGACAAATGGGGACCAACCATCGTTTGGGAGGGCAGCTATAGGAAGTTAACCATAGGCATCAGGCCACTGCCTCCTGTAAAGCCAGACCCAGGCCAAGTCTCAGTAAGACATGCCGACAATAACAAGCTGCAAGCTGCTGCCTTGACAACTGAGGTCCCACCTGGTTGCCCGCAAGTACTGAAGGAGTACTGAGACCTAGTGGGGGTTTTTAGCGAAGAAGATTGCAAATTTCTCCCTCCTTCCCACTCCACTGACTGTGCGATAGTGTTTGTGCCCAGGGCTAAGCTACCTAAACCAAAGATGTACTAAATGACTCCAAAAGAGATGGGGGAACTGAGGAGATACAGTTGCAAGAAAAAGTATGTGAACCCCTTGGGATTACGTGGAGTTTTGCATGAATTGGTCATAAAATGGTTTAATTGCACATAACATGTAAACATTCACAGTGCAGGGAGGAAAAACTATGTGAACCCTTGGACTTAACAACTGGTTGACCCTCCTTTGGCAGCAATAACCTCAACCAAACGTTTCTTGTAGTTGCAGATCAGACCCGCACAACAATCTGGAGTAATTGTGGACCACTCCTCTTCACAAAACTGTTTCAGTTTAGCAATATTCTTGGGATGTCTGGTGTGAATCGCTCTCTTAAGGTCATGCCACAGCATTTCAATCGGGTTGAGGTCAGGACTCTGACTGGGCCACTCCAGAAGGCGTATTCTGTGCTGTTGAAGCCATTTTTGTGTTGACTTACTTGTATGCTTTAGGTCATTGTCCTGTTGCATCACCCATCCCCTGCAGAGCTTCAGTTGGCAGACAGATGGTCGTACGTTTCCCTGCAAAATGTCTTGATAAACTCTGGAATTCATTTTCCCATCAATGACAACAATCCGTCCAGGCCCTGAGGCAGCAAAGCAGCCCCAAACCATGATGCTCCCTCCGCCATGTTTTACAGTGCGGATGAAGTTTTGATGTTGGTGTGCTGTGCCTTTTTTTCTCCACACATAGTGTTGTGTGTTTTTCCCAAACAACTCAATTTTGGTTTCATCTGTCCACAGTATATTTTGCCAGTCTTCTGAGAGCTCTTTTCTGCGAGGCATGGTTCACATCAGACAGTGCTTCTTGAAACCAGTAAACCCACAACAGGTGTGTGTTTTTAAAGGTCAGAACAGCTGTCAGCAACACATCCAATATCATCACGCTGATTGGAGTCAAGGTTGGCTCACTCCTGGCTCCAATTAGCTCTTGGAGACGTCATTAGGCTAGGGGCTCACATACTTTTTCCTCCCTGCACTGTGAATGTTTACATGTTATGTGCAATTAAACCATGGCAACATCTAATGTTTGTGCAGTATTATTTTCAGCAGACTGTGTTTGTCTCTTGTTGTGACTTAGATGATGTTTAGAGCACATTTTATGACCAATTCATGCAAAACTCCACGTAATCCCAAGGGGTTCACATACTTTTTCTTGCAACTGTACATCGACATCAACTTAGCCAGGGGGTTTATTCAGTCAGAGAAGTCCAAGGTGGCCGCACCAGTACTCTTTAAGGAGAAGAAAGATGGGGGGGATGAGGTTCTGTGTAGATTTTCATGGGATCAACACCATGTCCGTGGATAATACCTACCCCCTGCTCCTCATGAAGGATATGCTAAACCACTTATCCAAAGGCAAGGTCTTCACGAAGCTGGACCTGAGGGAAGCCTATTACTGCAACCAAATTAGGGAAGGGGATGAGTGGAAAACTGCATTCAACTGCCCCCTTGGCAGCTTCCAGTTCAAAGTCATGTCATTTGGCTTACAAGGACCCCCTGCAGTATTCATGCAGCTAATCAACGAAGTGCTGCATGAGCATCTATACCAAGGGGTTCTAGTCTACCTGGATGCTATTCTCATATTCAGCAAGACCTTAGAGGAACACGTGAAACTAGTGTGACAAGTACTGAAGAAATGTCTCACCGCCAAGTTGTACACAAAGTTGTCCAAGTGCAAATACCACAAAACCTCTCTGGACTACCTGGGTTACTGGATATCCAGCAGAGGGGTGGAGATGGATCCAGGGAAAGTGAAAGCAGTCCTCGACTGGCAACCCCCACGCGCTCGCCGACAACTTCAGAGCTTCTTGGGATTTGCCAACTTTTACAGGAAGTTCATCCCGGCATTTGCATAAGTCACCCTGCCCCTAACAGAACTGTTGAAGATGAGGTCCCCTCCAACAAAGCAGAAGCTGACTCAACCACTTGCTTGGACAATGGATTGTCAAAAAGCCTTCAAAAATTCAAAAAGGCTCTTTACCCAGGAGCCGATCCTGCAACACCCCGATGCAGAGCGGCCATTCATCATCCAAGCTGATGGCAGTGATGTAGCAGTAGCAGTAGCAGCAGTACTACTGCAAAAGGACTCAAGAGGACGGCTCCTGCCTTGTGCCTAAGTGTAGAAAAAACTCATCGACACAGAGAGGAGATAGGCAATTTGGGAGAAAGAGGCCTATGCAGTCAGGTGGGCCCTTCTTTCCTGGAGACACTTCCTGGAAAGGGGGGGGGATTGCCTTTCGAGGTCTGGACTAATCACAAACACCTCGAGGCCCTGAAGACCCCCAGGAAATTTCTCCTAAACATGTCCACTGGGTGCAATACTTCAAGTGGTTCAAATTTGAACTGAAGTACATCCCAGCAGGGAAAAACCTGTTAGCTGATGCCTTGTCAAGGAAGCAGCAGTTTGACAGCCACCGGGAAGAAGTAGTCCATGCCATCATCCCCCCACCCCCCGGCACAACCAGCAGCACAAGTCACCACCAGGAGCCAGGGTCGACAGCCACCTGATCCCAAATGGGACAAACTGACAGCTGCGCTGAGGGACGCACTACCAGCCAACCACTGGCTAACGAACAACAAAGACATACTATGAGGGAGTGTCTAGCATGGAAGGGATCCAAACTATGTCCCTGCGAGCTTGAGACTGGAGGTGCTTCAACGCAGCCACGACTCGAAGCTAGCCAGTCACTTTAGGTTCCTGAAAACTCCACACCTCGCTAGAAGGCAATTTTGGTGGCTGAAGATGAAAGCAGAGGTGGAAGACTACATAAAGAGCTGTGCCTCATGTGCCGCCATGAAAATGAGACCAGGAAAACCCCTGGCTTCCTTCAACAAGTAGCAAGCCCTGGCAGACCTTGGGAAGAAATAGCAATGGATTTTATAGTTGAACTCCCGGAGAGTGATTGACTTATTTTCCAAACAAGCACTTTGTTGCTTGCTCTGGACTGCCATCTGCAAAGAAGCTAGCTAAGCTGTTCATCAATCACATCTACCGACTGCATGGAATTCCCTGCTGAATCATCTCGGATTGAGGAGTCCAGTTTACAGCCAATTTTTGGAGGGACTTCTTGAGATCCATCAGATCCTCACAAGGGATTAGCTCGGTTTTCCATCCGAGTACTAACGGGAGTCGTGGAGAGAACTAATGCCATGGTGGAACAGTACATACAATGCTATGTGGATTACCAACAAGAAAACTGGGCAGACCTATTGCCATTTCCAGAAGTGGCTTACAACAACGCCGTGCATAGCAGTATCGGACTAACCCCCTTCCAAGTTACCAGCGGCATGGAATTTGTCCCCATGCCAGAACTACCCAGGGAGCCCACCTCTTCGATGACTCTGATGGAATGGATGGAGTGACTGAGGAAGGGCTGGGAGAATACGAAGAAAGCGCTAGCAGACACCGCTGAGGAATATAAAAAACAGGCAGACAAGCATCGTTCTCTTCCAAGTGGGAGACAAAGTTTTTCTGTCCACCAAATAAATACAACTAAGATTACCTAGCAAGAAATTGGTACCTAAATTCTTAGGCCCATTCCCAATACTGAAAGTAATCAACCTGGTGACAGTTCAATTTAATCTCCCCAGCATTCTAGGGGAGATACATCCTGTGTTTCATTGCAGCCTACTAAAACCGGGCTTGGAATCTAGGTTAAGGCCTTGGACCCAGGCCCCACCTCCTCCTATAGTAGTGCAAGAGGAAACCCATTATGAAGTTTAAAAAATTCGAGACTCCAGGTTGTATAGGAGTCAATTACAATACTTAGTTCACTGGAAAAGGGTACCATTTGTCAGAATCAAAACATTTTCAAGGGGAAAAAATCCCAAGAAAGTCCAATTGCGTTTTGAAAAGAACCTTTTGAACAACTATGACCTGGATGATTGAGAATCTCCATAGACATTCAGAAAGAGACCAAAATTGTCACTTTCTTCTTTGATTTTCTTTTTTTAAAATATTTTTTACTTTNTTTCCTTATTGTAGATGTGTCAACAAAAATGTTAGCATGTGCCAGAGATTTCTATAGGTCTTTAGCTGGCCCATGTTCCTCCCCAACCTCCTTACTATCTGAGTCTGTCACCAGCTCTGCTGGCCACTGGCGGGCCACAACACCTGCTTAACTTAGGACAGCTGCAGTCAGGCCTCCCATGCCCCAACACCTGCCGCACCACTGCCCAACTTCTTCTGCAGCTGCTTGTGGCCACTCACAGCCAAATTCATTGTGCCAGTGCAGCCACTCTTGGAAGGAGGCCACAAAGCTCATCAAAGCTATCTCCACCAATTTTTGCCTGCCCTGCCGCCTGCCTTTATGTCAGACATAGCACGTCACTGGTTTATGCCTATGGTTACTTAGTTTAGTTGGTTCATTGCCTTTCATCTTTATAAATGGTTTTCTTTATCACTTTATATTTGAATATTACGTATCATATCACTGTATATTTAACCTTTTATAAGATGGTTCAGCTTTGAAATGGAAACAAATTTGTTATTTGTCTCTTAAATCTGGAATATGATATAAATTTGAAACTTGAAACTAGTTCATGTATTTAGCTAGAATTTGAAAACGTTATTTCTAAGAAATACATGTGGTCCTCAACTTATAACCATAACTGAGCCCAAAATTTCCACTCCTAAGGAATACAGTTGTTAAGTGAGTTTTGCCCCCATTTTATGACCTTTCTTGCCACAGTAGTTATAAATGAATCACTACAGCTGTTAAATTAATAACAGGGTTGTGTCTGGCTTCCCCATTCACTTTGCTTGTCAGAAGTTGCAAAAAGTGATCACATGACCTGAAGACACTGCAACCATCATAAATACACACCAGTTGATCATGTGACCAGGGGAGATTGCAATGGTCATGTGTGAAAAACAGTTATAAGACACTTTTTATAGGGCCATTATAATGTCTGTCAGACTAAATGAATGATTGTAAGTTGAAAATTACATGTAAGTCATTTCTTTGGGGGGGTATCTTAGTCAATAAATCTTAGGTAGTATTTCTGTAATTTCTTTATAATCTCCACTAATACAGGGCAAAATTGTACATAAGGTTTCTTACGTCAAATTAAGAGCTGATTTGATGTAATGGTTAAAGTATCAAGTTAGAAATCAGAGTGTCAGGGCTGCCTCTGATCAATTTCGGGGGGGGGGGGGAACCCTTGACGCCATAGATTCAGAGAAAAGGTACCGTACTTTTACTAAGAATGAACTGAATGCAGCAAAAGTCAGGCAAGGTCTGAAGCAAATACAAAGACAAATTGAGCATTACCCCACAGCCCCCACTCTTGGTAGTCAGGCAGACAGAATTCAATCATGAGCCAGGAATATGTTTTAGGAATATGTCTGGTCCAGGTGCTCTGCACTGCCCTAGTGCATGCCCCTCCCAGGACAGTTGGCCTTGGATATTTTAAAACCCAAGCTGGCCTCTCCTAGTCCAAACGTCCCCATCAGTTCTCAGCAATTCCACTTTCGCACCACCTGCACACTTCCCCTCCCAAATTCCCATTGCTCCCTCTCTTCCCGTTTCCACGGCAGCTGGCAGGAAACTTGAAGGAAAGCGACGATGGCCAAGCTGACACAAAGCCCATGAGTCCTACCAAAGACATCAAGACACCTACATGACTTTAAGCGAATTACTCTCACTCAGCCCTAGAAAGGAGACAATAGCAAACCACTTCCAAAAAATGTTGCCATGAAAACTACAGGGATTAACTCATGCAGCATCCAGGAATCAAAAACTGACTAGAAAACGGACACTAGAAGTACACACACACACACACACACACACACACACACACACAATTTAAATACTTTTTTATTTAAGTAAGATTTTTTAGTTGAACGAAGAATAGTTAAATTTCATTCATGCATAGGAAAACTAGATTCAGACTGCACATGTACAGACAACCACACTATGGCAGCAAAGGGTTACATTTTCTCTCTGTTGTCATATTTATCAGACTTTTACTTCAAACCTAGTAACCATACACATGCTAAATGTAAGTCTTACAGGCTCAATTCTCAGAAAACACTAAGCATGGTTTATAGTCCTTAATGGTTCCCTTCTGCTCAGATTTCAAGCATATTCTGTTTTGCTTGTTAATCTATATTTCCTCCCCACTTTGTTGGGCATAGATAAATAAATAATTTGTGGGATCAGTTTGACAGTTACATAATTTTATTACATCAATACCAAAACTTCATATTTATTATTGCCAGTGACTTTAACATATATAGTGGGTGGTCTAATACATTCTTGCAAGCTTATACTCCCTAAAACCAATGTGGGCTACTTTAAAGATCAACATTGTACAATTGTATGATTTCATCTGGTGCAATTTGTAGATAGTTTAGATCTAGTTATACTTAACAGCACAGAAAACAACCCCCAGGAATTGACATTTGGCACCCTAATGAGGCCAGTGTCATTGATTATATTATGATTTCCCAGACCTTTGTTTATCTCCTAGCTTAGTTCAATATTAGAACTCACCCTAATAGTAACTACTTTCTACTAATTTGTCTTTTTGATTTTACAGCAAATCTTGAAGCATCAGAGATGCCGGTAGAAGATGTTATCTAGATTGATAATGAAATGTGTGCAACAGTGGTGGGTTC